ATATTGAGTATGTTAAAATACCTCAAAACAGAAATTTCATGTTAAGTATAGGTTTTGAAAGATTAGGTACTAATTAATTACTTTTTAACTGGGAATAAGCTACAATTAAAGATAAAAATACGTTTATTGACGTTTCAATTTCCACTTTGGAAATCGTTCTCAAAATACAAATTAAATTAACAGTAAATTAAACAAATTTTGTTTTTTGTTACATAGTGAAAAATTCTTCTAATAATTTAATTTTATCTGACTCATTTATATTGACAATTCAAACATACATTATGCATTTTAAAGTAGACGACTTTAAAATTATATTGTCAATATTGTTGAGTTGCGCTCTTGGGACGACTTTACTTATAAGATAGTTCATTCGATTACATGAAATTAACTTTAACTTGAGAATATCCGCCAGAAAAAAATCATAGCATATAATTCGTCTTTAAAAAGACAAAAACATGACATGATGACAGCAAAATTTTGATTTTATATGTTTCGTTATTTAAAAAACATAAATGATGTATCCTCTATATGTTACTGACTTATTAATACTGGTATTTTCTTATTAATAACTCCCTCTTTCAATATTGGTAACCAGATCCTACTACATTCTGCCGAGGAATTTGCGACACAATTGGCCTCATTTAACATAATTAAAGCCGCTTCTTTGATTTTTGTTTTTTTAACATCCGTCTCTTTTAGGACTACATTTGAATTATTCCATTGAACCCTATGTTCATTATCCCATGCGTCTTTACATATTTGAGATCTATCAAATTCTCTATTTTTAATATAAGACTGATGTTCACTTATTCTAACATTTAATGGCCTTGATGTTTCACCTAAATAAAACTGATCGCATTCACAAGTTATTTTATAAATGCAATTCTTTGTCCTTTCTTGTTCATTGTTAGGTTTGGTTTTGGACAAAATAGATCTCAACGTGTTTGTTTTTTTGAATGTTGTTGAAATGTTGAATTTATTGCCTATCCTTTTGAAGTTTTTCTGATAATCCTTTTATGTACGGTATTGTGATTTTCCTCGTATTATTCCTTGTGTATGCTGTAGGATCTCGTTCTAAGTTGTTCTAAATTAAAATTTGTTTAATTTACTGTTTGTATTTTGAGAACGATTTCCGAAGTGGAAATTGAAACGTCAATAAACGTATTTTTCTCTTTAATTGTGGCTTATTCCCAGTTAAATAGTAATTAATTTAAAATGCCACAAGAAAATAATTTCAGAACAATATTAGGTACTAATAATACAAATTTCTCAGCGACCGGTCAATGAAAGTGATACATTTTATTAATCTCATAAGAATCGTAAAAAATTGCAAAAATCGCGCAACGTATGTTTATTTAACAGCATTATAGAAACTAACATTATTTTAAGTAAAATGCAAACAATGGATCCGAATGCCACACTCTTTACCTTTAAAACGCATTTTGATTTTTGTTGATAGGGCACTTTTATCAAAAGATATCGAAGTTTAACAATAATTTATGGTCACAATTACAATCATTTTTTTTTATATCAAGAATATGTTTATTTTCCCGTTTTTTAAATTAAAATTGATAAATAATTTACTGATATAATTGCAAAAAACCAATTTTTGCAATAATTTATAAATTTTATTATTTTTTTTATTACTAAAATAAAATGTTATTATTACATTTGAACATAGAGGAATTACCGTCTTTTAAATTTGTGCGAAATTTCCCCCCTGAGGCTAACTATTGAACTTGCTCTATTAATGATTCTAGACACATTTAGCAAATTTTGTAGGATTCTTTAAGACTTAAACTATCTCAGAAGTTAAATGCATATTGCGTTTTCATAGAAATTATTTACAAAATAAACGTTTGAAAAAGGGGTATGTTTTTTACTTATAACCAATTATAATAACTTCTATATTTTTCAAGCTACAGTCTTGTACGTACGACCATTGGATAGCTGGTAAAAAAAACTCACATTAAAAAAAAAACTTCTATGACCAATAGGAAATATGAAAACGTCAACCAACAATAAATTAGATTTAAGTAACATAACAGAAAAAGACTGGGTAGACTACTTTAAACAGTTACTACAAGAAGGACGACAAAATTTTCAATACGAAAATGCAAACAGAGACATACGATCAGAATTCATTGAATTGAACATGACAAATATCGTAGAAGCGATAAGATCTTTTAACCTTAAAAAAGCGCCAGGCCCAGGAAACATCTCACCAGAATTTATTAAATACGGCTCAGCTAAACTGTGGGAAATGCTTAAAGATCTGTTCCAACGATGCCTGAATGGAGAAGAGACCCCGTTAGAATGGCGTGAGGCCTATATAACCCCAATATACAAAAAAGGAGCACGAAACAATGTCAGAAACTATAGAGGAATTGCTGTCATCCCCACTATAGGACGACTGTACTCCCGAATACTTAGAAACCTCATAGAAGAAGACATTCGTATGAAACAACCAGAAGAACAATGCGGATTCAGAGCTGGAAGATCGACTATAGATAATCTATTTACACTTAAAATATTAATCGAAAAGCGACAACAAAGAAACAAAGAAACAACCAGAAGAACAATGCGGATTCAGAGCTGGAAGATCGACTATAGATAATCTATTTACACTTAAAATATTAATCGAAAAGCGACAACAAAGAAACACATATAGCCCTGATAGATCTTGAAAAGGCATATGATAACGTGCCGATAAATAATTTATGGGGTGAAATGCAAAACATGGAAATAAAACCTTCGTTAATAATAGCAACTCAAAAGTGGTATGTAAACAACACCGCATCAATTAAAATAGGTGGCAAACTTAGTGAGAAATTTAACACTACGAAAGGGCTACGACAGGGATGTTGTTTATCACCTACGCTGTTTAAAATATATCTGGATCGATCTCTACAAAAGTGGCAAAGACAATGCAGAAATATGGGAATACAAATAGATGAGGATATTCTCTATACACTATTCTTCGCTGATGACCAACTGGTGGTAGCAGAAGATATAGACGATCTCAGCTATATGGTTAGGAAACTACAAACAGCGTACGTAGAATGTGGACTGACAATGAACTTACAAAAATGCGAATATCTCTCAGTGGGGAAAAATACAGTCGAAGACTTGACATTGGAGAGTGACAAAATCAAAGGAACAAATAGAGTAAAATACCTAGGAGTAGTGTTTACAAAAGAACGAAATAGCCATGAAGAAATAAATACAAGAATAAACAAAGGCAGAAACATTACCAAATGCCTAAACTCCATTCTCTGGGATAAAAAAAATCACAAGAACGACAAAAAAACGAATATATAAGACGATGGTTGAGCCGGTGGTAACATACGGAGCAGAGATATGGGACACTAGTAAAAGAAACAGGAATAAATTACAAGCTACCGAGATGGATTTTATGAGAAGAAGCTGTAGATTGACAAGGATGGACAGAATCCGCAATGAAGAAATAAAACGTAGAATGGAGCAAGAAAAGACATTATAGATGAAGTCCAGAAAAAACAACTAACATGGTTCGGTCATGTAAATAGAATGGCAGACGAGAGGTGGCCAAAGAAAATATTAAAATGGATCCCAACTGAAAGAAAGAAAAGAACAGAGGGCGTCCAAGAAGAAGCTGGCGAGATGACGTGAATGAAGCCATGGAAGGAAGACAGCTAAATGAAGCCGACACCCGAGATAGGAAACGATGGAAACTAGGGACAGGAAAACAACGACAGTTGTAAACAACCTGTACTATATATATATGACCAATAGAAACGAAGTTAGGGTCTATTTGGACGAAATTTTGGAGCGTACTCAATACGCCTTTTTACGCATACTAAGTCCCTAACTTCGTTCTTATAAGTCATAGGTTTTTTTAATGTGAGTTTTTTACCAGCTATTCAATGGTTGTACGTACAAGTCTGTAGCTTGAAAAATATAGAAGTTATTACAATTGTTTATAAGTAAAAAACATACCCCTTTTTCAAACGTTCATTTTGAAAATAATTTTGATGAAAACGCAATATGCATTTAACTTCTCAAATAGTTTAAGTCTTAAAGAATCCTGTGAAATTTGCTAAATGTGTCTACCATCATTATTAGAGCAAGTTAAATTGTTTAAATATTTAGCCTCAGTGATAAATAAATTTAATAACTTTTAAATTTTCTTGTGACTTTTAAAGTAATTACTATTTAAATGGAAATAAACCACAGTTAAAGGTTAAAGTACGTTTATTACGTTTCAATTTTCACTTTCCGATTTCCGAAGTGAAAATTGAAACGATTTCCGAAGTGGAAATTGAAACGTCAATAAACGTACTTTAACCTTTAATTGTGGCTTTAAAAGACGGTAATTTTTCATGTTAAAATGAATAAATAACCTTTTATTTTGTTAATAAAAAAATAATAAAGTTTATAAATTAGTGCAAAAAACTGCTTTTTTGCAAATATCTCCGTAAATTATTTATCAATTTTAATTTAAAAAACCGAAAAATAAAGATATTTTTGACTTAAAAATTTGACTATGCAAGGTAAAAATACGAGTATTTTTTATCTATTCGTCATCTGGCAACCCCTACCTATGTCTTAAAGGCTTCAGATATCTGCGAAATATTTTGCCGTGAAATCGATGAGTTTTGCATAACCAGACTGGGCTATCAAGGCTACAGAAAAAGTGCTAATAAACTTTTTTTGTTTAAACCATTTTTTCTGTGGCGTCATATTCTTAGTAAATTGATGTTTTAAATTCCCCACTCTACGTAAGGGAATTTTAGGGGAAGCAAGGGGATAGGAATGGCAAACTTTTTTTGCATCTTTTTGGGGTCTCAAAAATGACATTCTTAATGACAAAATTGACTGTCAATTGACAAAATTAGGCTTGTTCGTCTCGTTTTTATTCTGATGACTGGACTAAGATATTTTTAAATGAAGACACTTATTTACAGATATTAGTTTATATTGATTCTAAAATAAGGGTTTTTTGGTTAAAATTAGTTATTTTACTGACCTAAACCAGAAATGATTGCATCAACTTGAGTTGGAAAAGTAATGCAGCCAATTGCAAAATATTCTTCTCCTTGTTTTATCACGCAGTAATGATCTACATCAAACTCAATGTCTTCCCACAACATCACACCATCTACAATTTTAAAATCACTTCCAAGATTTATTCTTGTTTCAACATCAGTACAAATTGTATTGTCTGGAACGTGAATTATACTATAAACATTGTATTTAGTAAAACTATCATTATGTGAACTAACACACTTTTTACTGGTCATATTCATAGTTTCACCTTCACGACAACATTTCCGTACACATACAACAATATCACAAATACACCCCTTAACCGAAGGTCCAATAGTGAAATAATGTTGAGGGGTGTAAGTTATTCCATCTTTAATTATATTGTCACCGTCCCGACTTCCGTCTGTTATATCCACATAGTTTTTACATTGTTCACTAAAGACAACATTAGTTTGCACCAATAAAGTCACTAATATCACAACCGAATACATTCTCAAGGCAGAAGGAACCCGACGTTAATCAAACTGAGTCAAACATTGTCAATAACTTACTAGATAATTCCGGCGTACACCTTTAAGATAAGGATAGACATATCTCAGATAAAAAGATTTATAAAAACGAGGCACTTATCTTACTTATGTTGATTCACCTACTTTGAAACAGAATGGGTTTGCAAACCTTTTTAACAGCATTGAATTTGAAAATAAAGTTAAAACAAATATGTGATGTCATTTCCAAGGAAATGTGTACGATTCTACCTCATATGTTTAGAAAACAATATTGGTTGTGCTTGGAATTGAGAGTTTTCAACAAAACTGGTGATTGCAAATTGAAAAATAAACGTAAAACGGAAACAAATCAATTATACGCAATTGATTCTACAGCTAATCCATGAGTTTCATGTTAATAAACAAAATAAAACTATACTTAATATACAGGTACCGTACATACGTTAAAAACTTAGCAAAAACTTATACACTGTGTCCCAAAGGTACCGTATAAAATTCATAATATTGTTCCTCATTGAGTTTAAAGAAAAAACACCAAAAACAGATCGATTTAATTTTAATATCCAAATTGCAAATTTTTGTTACTATATTGGTCAAATTAAATAGTCTAGGCACCGGAGGCTGGGGAGGGGTAGGTTATACTAAAGCCCCATTGAATGCCTATTTTGCAATTGTTTTTCACGAAATTTGTTACAACTCGGGTTCCTATAATCCGATCAAAGTTAACCAAACGCCATTTTGTTAATTTTTTCAAAAGGAACAATTTGAATTTGGGTTAAATTAAATATCTCTAATAGTTTAGGAGATCATCACCCAGCCGTTTGCGTTCACTGCTGGACATAAGCCTCCCTCATTTTTGTCCATTGCGCTCTGTCTTGAGCCCTTTTTATTGAATTTCATGTTCTTGAGATCATCAGTCCAACGTGTAGGGGTTATTTGGAATAGTTTATGTTGCAGCATGAACTTTATAGTAGTAGTTTAGGAGATACAATAATTGAAATCGGTTTTTCTAAACAAAATCGAATCTAAGCACCAAAAAGCATAAACAATCGTTAAGGTGCCGAAGATACATAAGAGCGCATACTCAACCTCCCATGTGCCTAGACAAATAAATGTCGTACGATTAATTTGTCGAACCAAATTGTAAACATAGAGGTGGACGTACGTGTCCGGAAAGGGTTCCAAAGTAACTTTAAGTGTTTAAGTTATATGTAGCTTACTTAGATTTAACTTTAGCAGACTTTATATTACATAACAAACAGTACTGAGAAGATGCTCTGAAGGTTTGATATGAGCGGTCGTTCTTATCGAGGTACAAGAAAATGGATTCGGATGATTCCATGACAGATGAAGAGGAAGAGGAAAGCTACTACAATAGATAAATCAGAAACTAATATATTTAAAAGAACAAAGAACACACCAAGAACACCAAAAAAAGAAAAGAATGAAAGTTTATTAAAATTATAAAATAACTAACGAATGACATAAAAGAAACAAACAAGAACTTCATTAACAGGGTGAAGATATGGACAGTATATTCCAAAAGATCAGAGAAATTAAAGAAAAACAAACAGAATATAAAAAAGAAATAAAAAATCTGAAGAAAGTCAATGAACAAGCTATGAACTAAATGACAAAGAAAGTATTAGCAATGTATAAAAAGGATATACTAAAAGAATGGAAGATATAATTTGTAAATACCAGGCGGGTTCTAGACAAGGAAGAAGTACAACAAAACTGATTACCTTGCTAAAAGAGATATTAGAGCAAATCTATCATTACCAAAAACTGACCATAATATTATTTATAGATTTTGATACTGAACTAAATAAGCATTTTATGACTTAGAAACAAAGTTAAAAGAAAGAAACTATATAAATCACTTGAACGAACAACTAGAAATAAGCAAAAAAATTATTAGAATGATACAACTTCTTGTTCTTCTTCTATTGCTGTACCTTACTCTTCAATCGTCACTCATTTCTGCCCATAGGTTCGTCTTCACCTAAACCTTTCTCTCTCAAATCTTCTGCCACAAATTCCTTCCACCTTCTCCGCTGTTTTCCCCTACCTCTCCTTCCATTATCTTCCAATAACTGTATCCTTTGTCCTACATAAATTTTATTTCTACATATGAGATGACCAAACCATTGCAGTCTTTGTTATTAAATATTTTTTGAGACTAGTCACCCCGGATCTTTCCCTAATCAAGTCGTTCCTGATCCTGTCCCTTCTAGTCTTACCCAACATCTACCATTTTATTTTAGCTTCTTCCATTTTTCTTTTTTTGAATTTTCTTTAGAGTCTACACTTCACCGCCGTACACCAACGCAGGTCTTACTACACTCTTGTATATCTTTCCTTTCAGTACTTTCCAGATTTTTCTATCAAAAAGTGCCCTGCTCATTCGCTTGTATCATGTGTGCAATTTCTCGATCTAGTGTCCAATTTTCCGTTATAAAGGAATCAAAGTATTTAAATTATCCTACTCTTCCTAGTTTTTCTCCAAGCAATTACCTCTTGCGATTGCCTCTGCCAATTCGCCACAACCTTCTTGCGAATATGTATTGATAGGTTTCTGTTACATAAAACTGGTTTCCAGATCATAGATCCTGGTTATTATCTCTTCATAAGAAGTCACAATTTACATTAAACCAGCTACCGAGGTATTTAAAAAAGTTTACACGTTTTATCTCCTCTCCATTAAGCGAAAGCAAACCTTACTCTATATTAATATTTCCAACCGCCATCCACTTTGTCTTTGAAATGATAATTTCAAAGACAAAGTGGATGGCGAAAGATATCTTTGATAACTTTCTTCACTGACTAGATATACTAATGTTTGTAAATCTTGTCAATTTTCTGCAAGAACGGCTGTATCGTCAGTGTATCTAATGTTGTTGATTACTTCTCTGCCTAGACTTGCGCCCTTTTGTCGATCATCCAAAGCCCCTCTAAAGATTTCTTCAGAGTACAGATTAAAAAGACTGGGTGACAAAACACAACCCTGTCGTACTCCACGTTTAATGGGTAGTTTTTAAGTACGACTGTCTCCAATTTGGATAGAAGCTGCTTAATTGTAATATAAGTATTTTTTAGTGATTTATTGGACTTAGGATATATTATACTGAACTTTTAACCCAACCACATGGATCTCAGATGAAATCTCCCAAAAAATAATTTTTTATCATAAACTGTCAATATTACCATAATCAGAACCAGCAATTCTATGAGTTTGATAATTTCCAAAAGGAAGACCCGACAAATATTGGTCTGTAGTACACAGATATTTAAAATAATGAAGGAAAATCTGACCGAATAGTCAGACACTATTAATACCGTTTGGTGCACCTTTGGTGAAGTGACTTCAATTTAGTCTGGAACTATTTAAAACCTAATTTTTATTATGTGGGTACCCGACCATTAAAAGCATCGAAGGAAATAATATGGAATACCCCTTGCCAATCTTGGATCATCATCTCTTTGAAACTATGATCTGAATGACTTGATAATTACTATTAATGGCTTAATACGTACCACCCAGATAAAAAACCACAATTACAAATTATGCAATATATTCCTTTATTAGTTTATTAGATTCTTGAGCAACCGACATATTTTACTGACTAATAATTAGAGAATAGCAAATTTCGAATTGCAGGACGGTAAATTTTTAAGAAATATCAAAGAAAAAAAAAACATTGTCCAAGAATATACAAGTCTGGCGAAGTAATAAATATTTTTAACAATAATTTATTCATCAATTCAGAACACATTTCGTTGAGAAATATAATTGACTTTAGAAACAAATATTCGCAACAAAATCAACAAGTACAGATGTAATTTATATTTAAAAATTCTTGTATAAACCAAAAATTCTGTAAATAAATTAAACCATGTTTTCGAGGACTGTTGTTTGTATTCTTAATGATAAAATAAAACGAATGTGTTCTTTGATTTTAAAATCACTTTGATAATGAACTTACACACATCGGGGTCAAAGAAATAGCTTCCATTGGATAAACTGTTGAGCCTTTCCGTTTTCAGAGTTTGATAAACTGTGGCAGAGAGATAAGTACAGAAAACGCTTCGACAAAGGTAAAACGTAGCAAGAGAAAATTAATTCAAAATAAATATCGACTTTTACTTCCTTTATCATTACTTACATACTATATTATTAACTACAGGTTTCCGACCAAAATGGTAAAAATAGAATAAAATCACGGTTGGTGGGGATCCACTGTAACATTCTCTTTGGTCATTGTTGATCATTCATCCTTTCTACATGGCCATACCATTTCAGCCCTTTGCATTCTATAGTTTCCGAATGTCAATGTCTATGCCCATACGCTCTCTGATTTCAGTATTCCTTACTCTATCTCTTCTAGTGAGTTGGCAACATCTTCTCCAATAATTAATTTCCATTGGTTTTATTTTGGAAGCGTCATTTTTATTTATTACCCAAAGCTCTGAACCATATGTAGCAATGCTTTCTATGATACTTTTGTATTTCCTAATTTTTGTATTTCGGGTGATGTGGCTATTTTAAAGTATACTATTTAGTTGACGTATTGCTGAATTTCCTTGACCAATTCTAGTAGCTATTTCTTTTGTATTTCGACCATTGTTTGTAATGTTTACACCGAGATATTTATAGCTATCAGTATTTTGAATTTGTTTGCTTTCTAGTTCTAAGTGCTTTCCTTCACCTCCCACTACTACGTACTCTGTTTTGATGGATTATTTGATAAGCTCCACTTAGTATATTCTTCTTCTATTTTTCGTAACATGTAGTGGATATCATCTTGATCTTCTGCAAGTATTACTTGGTCGTCAGCAAAATGCAAGCTGTACAGTGTATAGTTTCCAATTTTAACACCCATATGTTCACATTTTCTTTTCCAAATATCCAAAACCCCCTCCAAATAAATCTTAAAGAGTGTAGGTGCAATGCAGCAGCCTTGGCGAAGTCCTTTGGTCACTTTTATCATTTTTGTCACTTTTTGTCCAATCTTTATTACAGGGCGGGCATGTTTTCGAAGTATCTGAGGGTCTTAAAAGTACCCTTGTTTTGGACGCTGCC